TGCAGCCTAGTTCAAGTACTCATTCTATATATATAGCTAGACTATTGAAACAGTCTACTCATAAAGCACATTCCTCGTTTGTCATACGTTATCATTAAAAAATTTAAACCAAGCGGGGCATCAGTGGCTCACACCTATTATCCGAGTCAGGAGGCTAAGATCTGATGATCGTAGTTGAAAGCCAGCACACCAGGAAAGTGCATGAGACTCTTGGCTCCAATTAATCAGCAAAAAAGCCATAAATGGAGCTGTGGTTCAACTGGTAGTGCCAGTGTGAAAAAGCTAAAGGACAGCACCCAGGTTCTGCATTCAAGCCCTACAACTGGCACCAAGAGATAGATGATACAGATAGGCAGGTGGGTAGGTAGAGGATTTGAAGTACAGAATTTTTCTATCCAAGGGAGAGCCATGGAACCCAGTTCAAGGGTTAAGAAGCTATGTCTAATGTATTGCTGGATATCTTCGGAACTTTTCTATAAGATGCTAAGTCTTTTGCATGTTTTCGCTATCAGTTTTGGGGTTTTTTTTGAGGAAAAAAAAAAAGCTGTTTCCAAATTCAGTCATCGGAAAGCCACATATCTGGTGAATGGGATGGACTAAGCAAACAATTATTAGCAAGTCTGATATGAGATCTGTACTCAGTGTACACTTGAAAAAATTCCAAGTAATTGCCTTTCAAAGATTGTGCCTTAAATTGAGTATTCTGTCATGCATCATAATTTGCTAATAGTTACCTACCCACCCCATTTGGGGGTTGATTTGGCAATATAAAAACATTCAGATGGTACTATATGGGGCTGGGAATGTGGCTTAGTGGTAGAGTGCTTGCCTAGCGCACATGAAGCCCTGAGTTCAATTCCTAAGTACCACGTAAACAGGAAAAGCTGGAAGTGGTGCTGTGGCGCAAGTGGTAGACTGCTAGCCTTGAGCAAAAGCAGCTCAGGGACAGTGCCCAGGCCCTGAGTTCAAGCCCCAGGACTGGCAAATAAAATTAATTTTTTAAAAAGGTAGTACTGTATTCGTTTAAAAAGTCAGCATTCCTGGGCTGGGAAGGTGGCTCAGTGGTAGAGCGCTGGCCTTGCATGCATGAGGCCCTGGGTTCCATTCCTCAGCACCACATAAGCAGAAAAGGCTAGAAGTGGCGCTGTGGCTCAGGAGCTGAAGAGCTAAGGGACAGTGCCCAGGCCCATAGTTCAGGCCCAAGACCGACAAAAAAAAGCAACCATTCCTCAGGGTCTGGGTATAGAAATAATAGTATAATCATCCATCAGTCTCCTTTGAATGGTTGATTCCTGGGGCCCATCTTGGATACCCAATCCTTGTGTACAAAATTCCTCATATAAGCTTTTTAGGGTGATATCTCTGCCAGTAATCTCAACTACTTGGGAGGCTGAGATTAAGAGCTTTGAAATTCAAGACAAGTCTAGGAAAAAGTCCTCAAGAACCTACCTCAACCAATAAACTGATGGGCATGGCAGCGCATGCTTGTCATCCCAGCTACATGTGAAGCATAAACAGGACTGCAATCCAGGCCAGCCTGAGTAAAAAGCAAGACATTCTTCACACCTGTAATCTCAGCTAGAGGATCAATATTTGAAGCCAGACTGGTCAGAAGAATCCTACAGACTATTATCTCCAGTTAACTAGCAAAAAGCTAGAAGTAGAGGTATGGCTCATTTGACAAATGCCATCCTTGAGTAAAAAAAGCTAAGGAAGAGCACAGGAGTTTGAGCTCCAATACTGGCACAAGCATGTGCATGCATACACATGCATACGCATGCACGCGCACACACACACACACACACGAAACACTATCTGAAAATTTTTTTAAGGGGGAGCGGCTAGAACTGTGACTCAGTTGGTAGATGGCCAAGATCTGAGCATCATGCTTCAAAGCCTGTCCTGGCAGGAAAGTCTGAGACTCTCATCTCCAATAAACTACTCAGAAACGGCTGGAACAGGCACTGTTCTCCAGTGACCTTGAGCAGAAGCAGCTCAAGGACAGCACCTAAGGCTGTGGGGGAGAGAGAGGAAATCCTGCATAGTTGATAGTCTATAGCATAAAAAATATCTGAATATGCTCAGCGATTTTTTAAAAATATTTTCGATTTGTGTGTCTAACTCATGGATTCTGAGTACTAGTCAGTGGAACCAAACTAAAGCGTGAAAATATAAAAAGGATTCAAGAAGATACTGAATTCACAAAATAAGACATGACTTCTTCCCACAGTGCTGGATTTTTAAACGCTAACTAAGTGCTTTACCTACCGTTGAGGTATATTCCCAGAGTAAGAGCAGGCTCTACAACATTTGAATTAACTTGGGACTGGGAAGGTGGCTCAGTGGTAGAGTGCTTGCCTCGCTTGCATGAGGCCCTGGGTTTGATTCCTCAGCACCACATAAGCAGAAAAAGCCCAAAGTGGTGTGCTGTGGCTCAAGTGGTAGAGCACTCGCCTTGAGCTGAAGAGCTGAGGGACAGAGTTCAGGCCCCATGACCGAGGCCCCCCAAAAAAAAAATTAACCCAAAAAAGTGGAAGGTGATAGAAATTTTACAGAGATTGACATAACCATGTAAAGGAAGAGAATCACTACAAAAGGAAACTTACCAAAACTGGCTACATAGCAGAAGGTAGAACAATGTCCTCTAAATGTGTGGTAACACCAAGAAAAGGCAGATTATTGTATTAAACAACATAGCAAAATTTGAGCATATACCAGGCACTGGTGGTTCACGCTATTCAGCTGGTGGCTAGCTATTTAAGAGGCTGATACCTGAGAACTGCGATTCAAAGCCAGCCTGGGCAGAAAAGTGCCCGTGAGACTCATCTCCAATTAACAAAACTGAGAGTGGAACTGTGGCTCAAAGTGGTAGCACACTAGCCTTGAGCAAAAAGAGCTCAGGGGCATCGCCCAGGCCCTGAGTTCAAGCCCCACAACCAACAACAAAAAAAAAAAAAAAGGAAAAAAATAGCATCTTATATTGTTAACTAGCCAGCTGTAAATACAAAATCAGAGACCATTCCACCATGATATTAAAAATATTCTGCTCTAAATGGCAAGGGGATAATGAACCATGGAGAAGTAAGTAAAATTGTAGTATCTCACCTACCCCAAAAGTACTTTATCAAGGAAATAAGGAAGACTGCTGGGTAGCCATGGCTCATGCCTGTAATCCTAGCTACTAGGGAAGCTGAAATCTGAAGATCATGGTCCAAAGCCAGCCTGGGCAGGAAAGTCTGAGATTCTTATCTCCAGTTAACCAGCAGAAAAGCCAGAAGTGGAGCTGGGACTCAAAATGGTAGTGCTAGCCTTTTTTGAACAGAAAAGCTCAGGGATAGTGCCCAAGCCCTGAGTTCATGCCCAAGCCCTGAGTTCAAGTCCTGTAACCCACCACACACACACACCCTCCGCCAAAAAAACCCCAACATTTTATTATTTTTAGAAAGAACCAACCTTAGAAACATTATTCAGAACTGTTTTTAGAAACATTATTACAGAAGAAAAAGTAATTCTTCTACTAGTATCAGAAGCTAATTCTCCATGATGACAAACAATAACTAAAAATAATAACTAAAAGCAGTAATATAGTGACCAAATTAGGACACAGAGTGAGGGTGGGCTAAAGCCTCATATTTATTTTTTTTCTTTACTATTTCCTTCTCATGCTTGATAGTACTCTGCCACTTACATTCTCAGTTCCCTCAATTTGCACATAGAAAAACAAAACTGATTATTGGAAAATAAAGCTGGAGCTTTGGGGAAAATAACAGATTTTTATTATAAACTCATCTTGGAGTTATTAAATGTCCTTTTACTTCTATTTTCACTTAAAACTTTGTATAAAGGTATTTTATATAGGTACTTTATATAGTATTTTTTAATAGATAGCACTTTATCAATTAAAAACAAGAGAAAACAGCTAGTTCATTTTTTTTGGGGGGGGGGGGTTGGCTGTAGGGCTTGAACTCTGGGCCTGGGCACCATCCCTCAGCTCTTCAGCTCAAAGGAGTGCTCTACCACCTGAGCAACAGCACTACTTCCAGTTTTCTGGCAGTTAAGTGGAGATAAGAGTCTTATGGACTCTCCTGCCAGGGTCGGCTTTGAACTGCGATCCTCAGATCTCAGCCTCTTGAGCAGCTAGGATTGCAGGCATGAGCCACCAGCACCAGGCAGGCTTTTTTTTTTTTTCTTAAAGCAAACACTGGCTATACAAAGGGGAACATAAATTATGGTATTTCTAGGCTAAGTGCTATTAATGAGTCAGCTGCTTTATGTGCTAATGCCAACAGAATAATAATTTGCTTCAGGCTGAGAAAAGGGACTTCCAGAAGTAGGCACAGGGAGCTAAAATCTCAAGTTGGGAAGTGAACATCAAGAACGTAGTTTTGCTGTATTGTACAATTCACCTTCAGCTCATCTGACCTCAAAGTGTATTTTAATCTGAATGGCAGATTTCTAAACAGTCGCTTCTATTTTGTTCTGTGTCCCATAGAGTGACGGTGTGCGACAAACAACCTACCTCGCTCAGCAGTACTGCCATGAAGCAGTAAGAGAAATCAGTAAACTTCGAGCATCCCCAGAAAGAGACGCCCTCATTCAGCTTTCAGAAATTGTACTCACAAGAGATAAATGACAATTGTTTCTGTTCTTTCTGGCAGCTATTTACCAGACTGTGCCTAAAGAATTTTGTGGAATACATTGCTTCATGTGCACATAACCAAAAATCATTTCCAAAAATAATTTCAACTTATTGATGGGCAATTTTTTTTTATTGGCAGTTTTTCAGAAAACTTTTTAAATGTAATTAAATCACCTGAATCTGTCATTGTAGTTCTACACATCCTAATCGAGGTATCTTGATGGTTATATGTGGTATTGTTTACACTGTTAATATCCACATGTAAAGCCATTACACAAATAAATAATGTTAAAATTCAAATGAGTGTCTTATTTTACCACAGGAGGTAAAGTAAAACAAAAAAAAAACTGAAGTCTGCAAGTAAGTCCTCATTAGTTATATTTTAACAGTATCCAAAATTTCATATAGGAGAATGGTTTATTATAAAAATCTGTACATAAGATTTAGACAACAGGTTATATACAAATTAAAAGAACATTCCACTTGAAAAAAGGAAAGTAAAAGGTAGCTAGCTGATCACTATGATACTTTAAAATTAACAAAGGAAAAATTCATATGAAAGTCACATTGATTTGGTAGCAATAATGGTCTTTAATTTTCAGAGATAAATGTTTTGCACTAGTCTCGCCATTCGCTATGCTGTCATAAGTCTGTAATATCAGTACATAACTGTAACTTGAAATCCAAATGAATCCTCAATACACAGAAACCCACATTTGAGTGCTCTATTTTAATATCCTAAGCAATATAGAATTATACACAGAAGAGAAAACATCCCTCTAATCCTCCCTTAAATTAAGAGGAGACACACAAAGTGCATGTGTTGCATTTCAGTTATGTCAAAAGATAATACAAATCTGTTGGTTAATTATATCTCTGTTCACTGATTAACATCTATCTTTCCCAATTATTTTATTCAAAATCTTATTGTTGCTAGTGCCAATGGGTTACATAGTGCCTATTCACAAATTGCATCCCACTTTTATAATATGTAAAAGATCATTTTCTTTCATTGAACCAGTGTATGATAGTCCACTGTAAAACTGAAGGACTGACATGGCAATCCTTAGGACTTTACCTATAGGGTGATGTGCGCACTCTGGCACATTTTCTTAGCTTCAAAAATTACTTTTTAAAAAGAAATTCAGTAGATTGACTTGTAAATCAGATTTTAAATCTGCAAAAATCTGTCCCAGTGTTGAGACAGATTAAGATAAGGCTAAAATTTCTTTTCCATGTTATCACATTGAGAAAATAGAACTATAATTCTTCAATACATCAAGGATTTTGTGTGTGTGTGTTTGTGCGCGCGTGTGCGTGCATGTGTTTTAAAGCAAACCAGTAAGGGAAGACAAAAACCTTTGGTTCACTTACGTATTTATAAATGGAAAAAATTTAGAATTCAAGTTTCACTCATTAAAAAAATTAAGATACAAATTACAACATGGCAGATACTTGTTCTGTTTCCCACAGAGACCTCAGAGGCTCATGTAAGTATGAGTACTTGAGGCATTACACAAATTGAAGCATCTTGGAATTTTTAGTATATTTCAATACATAAATTTTTACGCATGCTTTAAGCAAACAGTATTTTAAAAAGAGAATCTAAACAAAAGGTATGACCAGCACCAGCATTTAAGTTTTTCTGATTTTAGTATTAGTCTCACATAGCATTAGTAACCATGCTGCATTGGAACATGTAATGGTACAATATGAATCATGATTGTTAAATATTATACCCCATATCCCCAGAATATTTAGGCTGGTCATAGTTATCAATGTGTAAATAACTATATAAGCATAATCAGTTACAGACAGGTTTTGTATAAATTGCTATTTAGCAATAAACAAACTGCCTCAAAGATTTATGCTTACAGGTACACATTCAAATATACCAATAAAATAGCATATCCTGAAAATATGGGCACATTTTAAAACATTAAGACAATTCTGTTAACCATATAGTCCCACAGTATGACTGAGTAATAAGAACCTACTTTAAAAGCAAAGAGAATTAATCAGTATAGTGCATGATTGATTCAACATAGTTCCCAGGGAAGAGACCAGTCACTCGATTGCAGACTCCTTCATACCAGCCATCATCATTCTTCTTTATAACATAAATGATTGCACCCTCCATAAATGACAGCTCATCATCCTTGTCTTTTGTGTAATCATATATTGCAACAACTATGGAGAGAACAATGGAAATTTCACATGAATATACTATATCCAACATTTACTTGAATTTTAAATTTTAATGACAGACAAGAGAACCATCTTTTTAATGAAGTCTTAATTCTTACATCACCATATGATCAGTGGCAGATCAAATGGACAAAATTTGATTAAAGTCAACAGATTTTACCAATCTTTTAAAAATGATTTTGGATTTAGAATGTTAAGTTTTTTGGTTTGTTTTTTTTTGGGGGGGGGCGAGGGGTCTGGTCGTGGGGCCTGAACTCTGGGCCTGGGCACTGTCCCTCAGCTCTTCAGTTCAAGGCTAGCACTCTACCACTTGAGCCACAGCGCCACTTCCGGCTTTTTTCTTTTTGCTTATGTGGTGCTGAGGAATCGAACCCAGGGCTTCATGCATGCAAGGCAAGTGCTCTACCACTGAGCCAGGTTCCCAGCCCTAGAATGTAAGTATTTCTACTCATTTATCCAATAGTATTGTCTATAGAATCAATGATTTTCAAAATTAATTACTGGGCAAAGGATCTTAGTTGCCTAAGTAGCTAAGATTAGAGGCACTAGCCACTCACTACTAACCAAGCTATAATAAAAATGTATCTCATGTTCTTGGTTCCACTAACTAGTAAAAATACCAAACCAAATTAGGTGTCTGTTTTCCCAGCTTCCTCCTTGTACATTTACTTCTTCCTCAAAAGACTCATATAATTTCTCTTACTCTTCATATTCAACCATTAACAATTTGTTATCCTCTCCAGGATCTAATCCAGATAAAAGGTCAAACTCTTCCTTTTGTATGTACTATAAATCATTTCAGATTACACTAAAATTGAGTTAACGTGACCTAAAAACTGCTTTTGGAATAGTCATGTCTTACACTGTTGATTCACAAATTCAAATGAAATTCAATTAGCAGGTTTGCTTTATCTTTAAATATAACCCTACTAAATGATAATTTTCACTTACAACTAGCAATCAAAATAATTGCCCATGGACAAATCTAAACCATTTTTTAATAAATAAAATAAAACCTATTCATTCATGTATTATCTATGCTTGCTTTTGCACTACAAAAGAAGGATATGTGCTGGGTACTGGTGGCTCATTCCTATAATGCTAGCTACTTAGAAGATGAGGTCAGAAGATCGCAGTTTGAAGCCAGCCCAGGAAGAAAAATCCCCGTGAGACTCTTATCTCCAATAAACACTCAAAAACTAGCAGTGGTACTGTGGCTCAAGTGGTAGAGTGCTATCCTTGAGCACAAAGGGGCTCAGGGACAGTGCTCAGACCAGTAAGCATAGCCAATAATGCTTAAAATACATAGAGTGCTAGCCTTGAGCAAAGAGGCTGAGACAGCGCTTAGACCAGTAAGTATAACCAGTAAAGCTTAAAATACTCTCTGGCCTTGGCCTTTATAATACATAAAGTATGCTGACCCCTGATTTAGTACTTATTTCAACTTATGAAGATATTTTTGTATCCTGCTCAAGTAATTAACTAGTACCATTCCAAATCTGTCAATTTATGCAATAGTCCATTTTTCATTAGAAAGCTGCATTTGCTTTTACCAAGTAAAAAAATAGGGCAAAAACAGAATTCAATACCAATCAAATCTATTATCCTCACAGCAACAATATATTCCTATCTGAAGGGACATGGGAACCTAAAACAATATTCAAGTTGTCCTAAGTAAAAATTGCTATTTAAAATTAACTTTGGGAAAAGACTGCTGCTGGTCTCAGAGTAAGCCATTAACCTAATAAAGCAAAAAGAAGGAAACCTATTTCAAAGGCAATGAAAACTGTCGATTTAAATTACAAGTATTTTCAAGATCTGCACAGAAATATAGATAGCATAAATGGTATAAAACTAGAGAAAAATTCTCTAGAAACCTGAATAGTGTCTTATAATTTTATCAGGTTCTTATAATTGTCAGGTGTTTATAAGGTAAACTTGGGATTTTAGAATTAATTTCACGCATGAATCGCTTAAAATCATCTAACTGCTGGACATCAGTGGCTCAAGCCTGTAATCAGTCACTTAGGAGGCTGAGAACCTAAGGATCATAGCCAGCCCAGGCAGAGAAGTTTGAGAGACTCCACTCCAGTTAGCCAGCAACAGTAAAGCTGGAAGCTTGCCTCAAATCATAGAGCACCAACTATGAGCAAAGAAAGCCAAACAGTTGCTGTGTTCAAGCCTGAGGAGGTATTGACTTTTTTAACTGAAAAATCTTAAAAAGCATTTTTCTCATGATAGTACCAGTGTATTTGAAAATACTTTAATATAACTGAATTGGAAAAAACTTTTTAAACATATACTGTACACATATGACTTCTATAAGTCATTTAACCACTTTTTGTCTTAGTTGTTTCATCTATATAAGCAAGGAGACAAATTAATCTGAAGCTGCAATCATAAGCAGTTTGAAAAGCACACCTATCACAATTTTTATTTCAATTATAAAGAACACTCCCCCTTTTTACCCCTCCCCCCCTTTTTTTGGTTGGTCATGGGTCTTGAACTCTGGGCCTGGGCACTGTCCCTCAAGCTCTTCAGCCCCAGACGAGTGCTCTACCAATTGAACCACAGTGTCACTTCCAGTTTTCAGAGTGGTTTATTGGGAGATAAGAGTCTTGGAGTCCCCCCCACACTGGCTTCGAACCACGATCCTCAGATCTCAGCCTCCTGAGTAGCTAGGATTATAGGTGTGAGCCACTGGAGCCCAGCTACCCCTCCCCTTTTATAGTGAGGATGAATACACATTTTAAGTAAGTCACCTTGGTTGGTAAGGCAGCTTACATTGAGAAATACTGGAAAAGGTGTTTTTAGAGTTATTAAGCTTTATAATTCATCATCCTTCACATCAATTCCATAATGGTACCTTACCTTTCTCAATATAGTTCTTGGGGGCCCATGCAGGATCTCCATCAGCATATGGGTCATTATACTGAACTACTGCAGCTTCCTCATCTTCATAGTCCACTGGAGGAGGTGGTGGTGGTGGTGGAGAATCATCAAACATGGGAATGTCATCTGGTGGAGGTGGCGGTGGAGGAGTTGGGCTATCAGCAACTAAAAATTTCAGATAATGTGAATCAGAAATTGGTCTGTCAATGTATAAACTATAAGAAGTTAAGAAAGTTCTAACCATATACAGCATGCACTAAAATTAAACATGCAATGATTAGAAAAGCTTGGTGTGTTAAAATGTATGCTATTCCTAAGAATAATTCTATAATAATAAAATACCAAGAAGCACTACAAAAATAGTTAATGCAAGAGGTTAGGATACAATGTCTCTTTTCATAGGATTTTACAAGTAAGAAGTTTCCTTATTCCAAGGTTTAAGTCAAAACAAATGTAACAGGCTGGGGCATGGCTCAAGTGGTAGAGCACCGGCCATTTTAGCTCCAAAAAAATAAACCTTACTCATACTTATCATTTGGACAGCAGTAGTTAAAATATTACAAGATTACTCTGGTGTGTTGACAACCTTTTTTGTGTCTCTGATATTTTTACTTTTGCTGGAACTAGGGTTTGAACTTAGGACCTCGCACTGGCTTATCTCTGGCTTGGCCTTCTGGCTTGTCTGGCACTCTACCACTTGGGCTGACCCTTCAGTCTAGTTTTTTACTGGTTATTGTGGAGATGGAATCTCTCCAACTTCTCTGCTGGCTTAAAACTTCAATACTTAGGATCTCAGCCTCTTGAGTAGCTAGGATTACAAGTGTGAGCCACTCACATCTGGCTTGATTTTGGCTGTTTGATAGTGTTTGCACCTGAGACATTTAGGTTTCAAACATATATATTTGGGGGGGGGGGGGTCGGGAGTGTCAGTCGTGGGGCCTGAACTCTGGGCCTGGGCGCTGTCCCTCAGCTCTTCAGCTCAAGGCTAGCACTCTACCACTTGAGCCTCAGCGCCACTTCCAGTTTTCTGAATGGTTTACCAGAGATAAGTCTCACGGACTTTCCTGCCCGGACTGGCTTTGATCTCAACCTCCTGAGTAGCTAGGATTACAGGCGTGAACCACCAGGTTCAAATAGATATATTCTTATTTGTTTATTATTTTTACTTCAGTGGAGAGAAAAGATGATAGCATCTTTATGTAAGTTCTCCCTTCTATTTACATTTTTGAAAGGAAAAAAATAATTCTCAACTACAAAAAAATCTTTTGAAAACTCTATCAAAATTTGAAGAAAGAATTGAAGCTAAGTTTGGAGTTTTCTTTTGGCATTATTATTAATAAAAGCAGGAGATGACAGAAAGACTAGAACTAAAGATCCAATTTTCTTTTCTTTTTTTTTTTTTTTGTCGGTCGTGGGGCTTGAACTCTGGGCCTGGCGCTGTCCCTCAGCTCTTCAGCTCAAGGCGAGCGCTCTACCACTTGAGCTACAGCGCCACTTCCGGTTTTCTGGTGGTTTATTGGAGATAGGAGTCTCACGGTCTCTCCTGCCCGGGCTGGCTTTGAACCGCGATCCTCAGATCTCAGCCTCCTGAGTAGCTAGGACTACAGGCGTGAGCCACCAGCGCCCGGCAAGATCCAATTTTCTAATACAACCATGATTAAGATTTAAACAAAGTGTTGAGGGAAAATGTAATAATAATAATAAAAAAAAACAAAACGAAACTTATACCAAATAAAACAATAAAAATGACTTGTACCTTGGGTTCTACAAAGCTGTGGTATGTTTGTCTATGTGTTTTTAGGTAATCAAAGGTGTTAATAAGGAAATAGGAAAATTTCAAGCTAGGACTATATTCACTGAACTAACTAGGATACCAAGTGACAAGTGCTCCAAACACTATGGAATTCAAATCTGGAACACAGTTAATGCTTAAATTTCTAGTCCACAAATTCCTTTACAAGTCCAAAAGTCAAATTAACATGTTTTCATCTGAAATGATAAAAAATTTTAAGTTTACTCGCTCCAGAGCTGGAATAATATGCTGAAAATATAACCAATAGCAAACATTTGCACAACTACCTGAAATTTGTGATTCTATTTTTATCCTCTTGAGGATGAAAAAAGCTATTAAAAAGCAATTTCTGTGTGGTGACACTCACTCTAATACCTATTAAACAAGTGTACAGTTTATTTTTCCACTCCATGTACCCATCTATAACATATTTGCTCATACCTCTTCTATAATATAGAAGAAAGAAAGATGGGAATTCACCATTACAACATTAAATAGTTACAAGGTCATATTCTTAATTTGGCATAATATACAAACTGTATGTCTGCTTAAATCCCTAAAGTAACACTGTTCTTGGCTTATACAATTTTAATGTTTTTGTTCAATTGTCTTTATGTCTATCTGTGATAAATCTACATTGTCTTGTCTTGAAATTATAATTCTCTGTACAAGAGCTCATTTAACACTATGCCTACTTAGTTCAAAAAGCCTTGTGATATTAAGACACATATTGTTAGGTTAAAAGATACATGTACTCACTGTCACTCACTTTCAGTACAAAGAAACTTGGGTATTTAGAAAAGAACAAAAGATTTCTGCTTTATAAAACATTTGAAGTGCTGGTACACAATTTATTCCAATTGCCTTAATTTGCAAGAAAAAGATAACAAATAAGCTTAGCAAATCAACTGGCATAGGAGAATGATTTAAGTTAACACCTTCAGGGAGAAAAAAAGAACTATAAAATAGGGACAAAGCGTGACTCAAGTGGAAAAGCACCAGCATTGAGCAAAAAAGACAGGAGAGTAAGAGACACTGGAGTTCAAAACCCATAATCAGTACAAAAAAAAATGCAAAGAAATGGTTTGCCCAAGTGTTATAGGCTCATCCTATAAAATCAATCCTAGCACTCAGGAGACTGAGATCTGAGGATAGCAGTTTCTGACAGACAAAACTGGAGGTGTGGCTCAAGTGGTTGGTAGAGCACAAACAAGCACTGAAGGAAAAGCAGAGCAAGAGCTCAATGACAAAAAAGCAGAGCAAGAGCTCAATGACAGGAGTTCAAATCCCAACACACACACAGACACACACACACACACACACACCTAAGAACTAAAATAGTTGTGCCCAGTCATATAGCAGTAACATACATAGATATGATTTCTATTTTTTAAGTTACAAAAAAATTGACCTTTGGATTCACAAAATTAATGTTCATTATGGTAACAAAAAGTATTTTCTAGTAAGTCCAAGTGATATGGCAGTTACCAAAAAAAAAAAAAAAAAAAGCTGAACTGCCTTTGTTTTTACACTGCTGCAGACTTAGTAAAAATGGTTGCAGCATTAAGGATCAGCAATTTAGCCAGCATGGTGGTATATAAGGAATACCAATCTATTATTCCAGCACTTAAAAAGCAGAAGGCAAGAGGATTTTAAGGTCAGCCTCAGCTATGTAGCAAGTCCCCATCTTTAAAAAGAAAAACAACAACAACAAAACAAAATAAAGCAAAACTATGCAGATCAGTGGTAATAGTTGCCTACAATACAGAAAGCCCTCAGTTTGATCTCTGGCAACACACACACACACACAACACACACACACACACCCTATTCATCTATTTTTAAAAACTTAAGATTCATTTATTTTTAAATATCTGAACCCAGGAGTTTTCAAATAGATGGTTTATACTCAGAAATTTTCAAAATTTAAATTACATTTTATAATAAGCCCATTAGATCATATATCACTGGAAGGAAAGGACTGTCTTAAACTGTTCTCTTCCCAAAGCTAGCACCCAACAAATATATATTAAATTGGTGAGAGGGAGGTAATGAATGGTAACCCAAAAGAGTCAGCAAAAGCTGAAATGAAATTTATCCCAATATATTTTTCAAAAATAATGGGCTGGTCCATGGGATTGCCCATTTGTTCAAAACATTGTGAAATTTATTTTCATAGTGATGGCTCTAAATAAGGTAAAATATGCCACCTCTGTAGCAAAATGAATAGATCTGGTGCTTTGTTATTATAACTATTATTATTATCATCTTCAAATAGTTACATAAGGGATGCCATATTAATTTCAATAGCTTTTCTGGAGTTATATGATTCAGTAATAATGGTATTTTTCAATTTGTCACACAATATTCACTGTGTTCATGTAGTTAGGATTATACATCCTCTGGGACCTTGAAATTAGGGAGCAATATAAACTAATCTGTCCAGATTAAATCCATTAAAAACAATTAAGAAATAATCATCAAACCTTATCTTCATTCAGAGAAGATCTTCAAAAAAAAAATCACCAACAGGAGTTACGTATTCAGTAATATTCAAAATAGTCCTGCATTCCCTATCACTCAGCCTTAAATGGAGAGAGCTTAGATCCATTTACTTTTCTTAAAGATTTATCCTAAAGAATGAACCTTTATATAGATAGATCAAAATTATTCACATATAAAGACCAGATGCTACAAGTTTTCTCTAAAATACTGTGTATTTTGGGGGGGGGGGGGGGGGTCGGAGGTCGTGGTCGTGGTCGAGTAATCGCCTGCGGGGGGGGGGGGGGGAGGACCTTTCCAAATTCCCTTAATAAACATAATCTCACAGTTAAAACACACAAAGTTTTGAATTCTATTGATTTGTGTCTTTATGTCTGAATACTCTTTAAGCAATATGCAAAGATCATATCTCATGTTTTAGATCATATAAATACTTAGGAAAGATGCAGTTTTGAAATTTCTAGGGGTCAGTAATCATGCACACAAGAGAAAAAACTGAAGACCTTGCTCTTCAGTTTCAATGACATACAGCTGATTGTATTTTCAAGGTAAGATTAGCTTCTCAATAAAAGTGAGGAAAATGATGACTCATCAGCCATGCATGCTATAAGGAGACAGCCTCTATTCTTTGATAGCTCAGTGTTTGCAAACTTACTGTTTTCCTGCACCCTGGCCACGAAGCCTGTGAGAGGTATCTGTGGAGTCAATTGAGGCATAGGGGGAGGGGGTGGAGCAATAGAAACTGGTAGCAACAACACAGTATGGGGGAAGTAAAACAGATAAAGGAAAAGAAAAGGAAACAAACAAAAAGCAGAAGTCAGTTACAAAGACCACAAACATAAGTATGCAAAGAACAGTTCGCAAATGAAACAAAAACAAAAAACAAAAACAAAACAAAAACCTACAGAAACTTCATCAAGTTCACGTCCCACAAGCAAACCTAAAGCCAAATGGTACTTAGCCAATTGGGGATTAAATATATAAAAGAACAAATGTACTTAATATTAGTGTTAAATTATTTGGGGAAATTTTCAATTCACCGTTAGCATTCATTTTAGTGCAATGGTTATCAAATTCTATAGAAAAACTTCTAAACTAGGTAATAATAAAATACCTACAGGTTTTGAGAATATTGTGTTTTACTATAAATAGGTCTATTTTAAGGTAATATTAAATCAGAAGCCAAATAAATACAATTATGTGATAACTATTGATTACATGTATAAATCAATATGTTAATCTAAGGTTTCCTTTAGACAGTTGTCATTATAAACCTAATTTACACACTCCAGAAAAAGCATTTCTTTATAAAAAACAAGGTTATTATTTTTTAAGTTGGCAAATTTATTTTTAAAGCTATCACTCTTAACTTTGCTAAGGAGTAAGAGTGTTCCATATGTCATTTTGAGTATGCTGTTTTAAGGGATGAGACACTCAAAAGTGACTTTTTTAGCACTGTCTGAAAAAGGAAAACTGATCTCCAATGATTTAAAATGTACAAGCATTTGTACTGATTATCTTAACTTCTAATAAGACATTGGCTAGACTGAAATAGATTCAAACTTCTTTCAGGAAAGGACATAATTTATAGGAAATTCATGTCAAATGTTCATGTGAACCAACAAACACATTACTTATTGAAACATAAACTAGAAGTTAACAATCCTGCGTTTCGTCTAATTTTTTTAACAAGACAACAATATGCCAAAGTCAAAAGGATTAGATGATAAAATTCAGTTTTATCACCTGGTGGTCACCAATAAGTGACCGTAAATTATCAAAGAAAAACAACTTACTGGCTCCCAAAATTCATTTCATCAAAACATTGCTCCAATTTACCCAATGAATACATATTTTGTTGGCAAGTATCCGAAATTAGAAAGAAGTTCCAGATTCAAAGAAACAACAACTTAACAAAGCATTGTGCACTAATATTTATTGTATGGCTAAAAGTAATATTCGATTCACTAAGTAATTAGTCCTTTTTCCTACTGACACTCGGTAGGTGGGAGATGGTTAAATAAAAGATTAAAGACTTACAACAAAACTCCTAAAAACCTAATTTTAAAAATAAATAAATAAGTGACTAGCCATGCTGGTTAGTAAGAAAAAGAAAAGGCTAGGCTCATTGTTATTGGCGTCACATTTAGACAAAAGGGAAAATATGCACATCAGAACACTAAAAACGTTTACATATTATTAAAACTACACCAAAAGCCAACTCATACTGAAGGATAATTACATAAAACATAATAATACATTTAAAGTCTGAGGCCATTATATGCTCCCAACATTCCAGAGAATGTAGATATTCACTACATTGTCTTTGTTGAAACTAAGCCCCTCAAGTATTGTTAAAATAAACTACACAAACATTATTAGGGGAAAGAAAAACCTCATTTTCAGAGTAAAGTACAAGTCTGTGGTAAAAAGAAAAATTATGAACATAAAGATGAGATTTAAAAATGCAAAGTATTAAAAGAAACTAAAGCCAATAAAATTAAGTGAGGTGAATTATTATTTTGTGGAACATTCAGACACTAGCTGCCCTATCAACACCAAAAAGGAGCCCAAAGAAAGTTAGAATAAAATGAAAATATTAGTCTGGAAGGTTGTAGAAATTTGAGATTATCTGTGAATTTTTAGATCTTCTAAAGTGGCTTTCAGTTATGCTGTAACACAATCTTCTTTAATTTAAAAAAATTTTAAAAAGTGATTAAGGCTTTTTGCTATTTTTTAAAATAAATGTTCAGGATATGCAATTAAAAAAAAAAAAGAACTTACACTAACCTTCTATGCAAACAGTATTTGATGTTTAAGTAAAATATATGACAGTCAGGTAAAGCCTCGTCTGTGCCCAGAAACCACAACATCAAGTAATACTGGACAGGAGACTCATTTTCAAATTTCTTTTTTTTGTCTGTTTTTGTATTAAACATCTTAATATGAAAAGTGAACTTAAGGACTACCGTAAACTATTCAAACTTCCTAACATTATATACTAAAACTAATTTTTAATCTTACTAGCTTTTGAACAATAACTACAATTAGTATTGAGATGTGCAAACTGAGATGAAGAAAAGAAATCAAAGAAGATCCTTCCCACTATTAGGATTATTCAAAGATAGATTAATTAAGCAGGTATCATGAGTGTTTTTAATTGGTTTTGAACTCATTTCAATATAAGTTTTAACTTCCTTCAAAGTGATAGCCAGCAATTTCATTTCATTATTTTTAACAGAAAAGTTCTACATTATCTTTATCATTACTGAATTGTTTGGGAACACATGCCAATAAAAACATTTGATTTAGTGTGTTTCTTCTCTAGTTTTGCTTATATTGCAGTAATTAAAGAGGCAATATTAAAGCATTAAATTTTGATATATACTTAAGTCTGAAATCTGGAGAACGTGTTAAGTAATCAATAGTATTTATGATTCAATAACTAACTGTAAACCAAAAATAAACACGCAATAAACATGGTTTCAATTGTTGTCTATCACTGGCAAGAATAACAATTTCAAAAAGATTCCTTCAAAAGGAGCCCCGCTGTTGCTATATGCCTGCAAAGCACAAGCTTACTTGAATTTTGAGAATAAAGTGGACCTCCATTAACATGAGGCTGAGCAGAAAATTGAGCAGTCACAGAGGGAGTTCGTCTATATCCACCAGAAGATGTCGAAGAAGTGGTAGAGTTGTGTCGAGAAATCTGCCTGGTCATTGTGCCATACTGGGAACCAGGAGCTGAGCCCGGGGCTGCTGAAAAGTATTAGTCAAAGGCAACCAACAAAGAGACTTGAGCATTGTATCACCTCAGGTGGCAGAACAAAGAGTGGGGATTCTCAGTAAGAAATATTATTTTACAAAGCTCACAAATATAAAATAAAGAGAAAGATCAAAAACTCTACCTCCGACATTAATAACAAGGCAAAAAAGGTACTGTGTGGGAAACTACAAAAGTACATACATAATGTTCTTTTAAACCTTTCAAATAAACATAATCCCAAATGGTATTTTGTTAACACTACCTATAAATTTTCTGCACATTTAACAGTGGCTCTGTACCAGTGGGTTCCAAATCTATGGATACCATCAAGCTGAGATGGGAAATGTTTAAAACAAAAACAAAAACCCCGCATCCACACTAAACATGTACCTTTTTTTCTTGTCATTCCTTAAATCCATAGCATTTATATTGCTTTAAATGTGACAACTAATCTAGATGATTTAAAGTATATTAAGGGAGGATGTATTAAACGAAAGTATCAGTTATATGAAAGTATTACCTGTCTTATATAAGCAACTTGAGGATTTTGGTATCTGAGGGGTAGTGTAACCAATTCCCCATGGAAATGAAGGACAACTGTGTACAGCTTTTATATGTAAACTGTCTCTCCAACAAATTACCACTGAACAATAGTTTGAGATGGAAAGTCTCAAGTCAGATGTAAATATATCTGGTTTACAAATTTTCAGAATTTTGATTTACAATATAAAACTCTAGGGGTTGGGGGTGTGGTTCAGGTGATAGAGTGCCAGCCAATGAGTGAAAGTGTCAGATACTGAGTTCAAGTCCTGATCTTGAACCATAAAAAAAAAACAAAAACAAAAAGCTGTCTAAATCCAAACTGCATGATAAAATACCACTTGCATTTAAATTTTTGACTTAGAAGCTAATGATATCAATACATATTACAGTAGAATCACTGTAAAGTGTTATTTTTATTTTTAAACCATGTATAATGTCAGAATTAGAATCTAAGTTTATTATTCTCCCTGACAAAAAATGAGGAGAAAGAAAAATCTTTTATTTTTGTTCTGGTTCTGAGGCTTGAACTTAGGATCTTGAGCTCTTGGTTGTTTGGCTTTTTTACTCAAGCCACAGCACCACGTTCAGCTTTTTTTTTTAACCGGAAATAAGTCTCGTGGACCTTTCTACCCAGGCTGTCTTTGAACTAAGATCCTCAGATCTCAGCCTCATGAGTAGCTAGGATTACAATTGTGAAGCACCAGCACCTGGCTTGGGGGGCTAATTTTTTTTGGGGGGGAGGAGGGGAGAGGGAGGAATTTTGTGTGTGTGCACATGCACACGTGCACACCCTGTCCTGGGGCTTACACTCAGGGTCTGGGTGTTATCCCTGTGTTTTTGTGCTCAAATCTAGTCCTCTACCACTTGAGCCACAGCTCCACTTCTGACATTTTTGAGATTAGGGTTTCATAGACTTTCTTGCCCATACTAACTTCCAATAATGATCCTCAGATTCCAGCCTCCTAAGTAGCTAGAATTACAGGTGTGAGCCACCACCACTCTTTAAATAAAACAAATACCAAGCTCCATAAATACAGTATTAACCTATCACTGAAGCTTCCTATGTGTCCTTTCTCTGGATTGAACACTTTGGTTTTCTATATAGCTTTTAACCACAGATGAATTATACCTAATTTCGTATTGAGACACTTAAGTTGTGTTGAGATTTACGTTATTAATACTACTTAGAAATACTTGTTTAGGAATGAACATTTGTAAATATGGTTCCTCTGTTTCCATAAAACAACGCTTCTTAAATTTCATCACTAATCAGAATATCCCTCTTGAGGGCTTATTATATATAGTACAGACTGTTGGGGTCATCAGAGTTTTTGAATGATTAAGCCTGGAATGGGATCTGAAAGCTTATAGTTGTAACTACTTCCCACATGTTGATGATTAGGGAACATCACCCTTAAAACTATTGCCCTAAGAGTCATTTTCAAACTTTTTAGTATTAGAGTCCATTCTAAAATTAGAGAACCTCAAAAAGTTTTTGTTTATGTGGATTACAGCTGTAAGTGATTACCATAATAGATATTAATATCCATATATCTTGGAAACACATAAATAATAAAGCACATATTCCATTAGCTGTCAAAACTGACTTCATGTAGCCTCTGGAAAATTCTTCAACATACTTCTAATAGAAAGAGAATAAAAGAGATAAATAATGAATAGAGCTCCCAAATTTACTATGAAAGGATCTTGGAACCTGTGTTCCTTAATTATAGTTTGAGAACTAATGCTCTAGGGCAAATATCTATCATAAAATTTATTAAGTCCATGGTAAACACGTTCAACTTGAGTTACTTTGCAAAGTGAGTATATCAACTAGTAACACTACCAGTAATGTATTTTCCTGTTATCACATATCCTCACCAATATTTGTATTGTGCACTTCTACAATTTTTACCTATTCAAAAATAGAATCCTATTGTGGCTTTAATTTTCCTGATTAATTAGGCTAATGGCATTTTAGTTTCATACAAATCTATTAACAATTTCTATTATCAAAGTTCTGAGGTTTTTTAATTACCTCCTTCCCCACTTTTTGGCTCTCACTATTTAAAAGACTTCACTATCATTTCTACCTGCACAACTGTTACTTTGTACTTCTACAGCCAAATGGGTTTTTTTTTATTGTTTATTTATTTTTTGGGTCCGGTCATGGGGCCTGAACTCTGGGCCTGGGCGCTGCCCCTCAGCTCTTCAGCTCAAGGCCAGCGTTCTACCACTTGAGCCACAGCACCACTTCCTGTTTTTTTTTCTTTTTGCTTATGTGGTGCTGAGGAATCGAACCCAGGGCCTCATGCGTGCAAGGCAAGCACTCTACCACTGAGCCACCTTCCCAGCCCCCCCAAATGGTTTTTATACTGATTACATGTGGAATCTTTTACATGCTCAATGTACTCTTCAGATTAAATGCACTTTATTCAAAAAACTGTTTTGTAGTATCCTCAGTGATCATAAAAACTGGATTTTTCAAAGTATAATCTACAGTAAAACATTGGAGGACCCCACATCACACATCATTTTCCTTCCCATTTTTCTCCTCCTGTTCCCACTTTTACCAGTCTTCTTACTGCTGTACATACCAGGGAGCTTTAATCAAGTTCCACTGTGGGGAGAGGGAATTACATTACTAATTTAATTTTTTTGAGCAATCACTACAATTCTTTTAGAAAAATCTGAACAATAAGTAAATTAAAGTCATATTACGTTGGTTATAAACCACATATAGAAGCATTTCATATTGCAGAAGTTATTCTATATATTGTTACTGAATAAGTTCTTTCACTAGAAGAAATTAGTGCAAATTAGATGTAATATTTTAACCTTCCCATTATAATCTACCACCTAATGGCTATAAAAACTTGCATTCTATTAGCTACAGAGGAGTTCATTAAGAATTATGCAAAGTAAGGTCAATGGCTCCAATGGTTATGCAATCTCACCTATCACAGTGCTCACTGGGAGAAGTGGTGGCAGAGGTGGTGCTGGTGGAGCTCCAGAAGGAGGAGGGACAGAAATGTTTTCTAATAAAATAGTTTATAATTCAGGTCAGAGTGCAAGAAAAGAGAACTAAACATTCTGAAACAGCAGGAAAATACAATGTATTGGAAAGAAGAAAGAAAAGAAAAAGCAACACCCATATGTAACACATGTTCAAATGAATAAAGAATTTTGCTAGATAAAATTGAGTTTATAATTGTATTAACTAGAAAATGTGCCTGGCTTTATAAGTAGCCTTTCTCCTTCAACAGTATGCTTGAAAAGCTAAGACGTTTCCCTAACGTTTTTATTATGATACTTACTTTTTAAATGTAAGCAATACTAGACTACATATATATAACAAAACTCTTTGTCTCCTCAGATCCCCCAAAAGTGTCCCATTTTCTTTACTAAAAATTAAGGGGCTAATTTAATGTTCTCCAAGAATGCCTTACTTTTCTAAAAAATAAAAGAACTTTCGATCTCAGTTTACATTCATTGCACTTTACTAAAATATAAACCGAATTGCACACAAAAAATGTAGTAAAGTCACAAAAGACCAGCATCAGAGTTAAATAACTATTCTAAATTAAGACAAGATCAAGACTCTGAGACATAATTTGCTTTTAGGCAATGATCCTTTGGATGAAATGTATAGCTTATTCTTGACTACTGACAAAGACAAGCTTTTCTAAAACAAAATTGACCACATTTTTAAATAGTTACTTAATATGCATTGTATATAAGGAGACAGAACTGGTAACGTTCAAATAATTTCGTGACACCATCTAAATGTCACTAGCCTTTATTCTTGCTGTAATTACAAATAATACTTCTAATAACTAACGTATTTACATTACCACATGTTAAACACAGAATACCATACCTGGTCCGACAGTGGGTGGTGACGGTGTAGGCACAGCAATGGGAATGCCAATACTACTGCTTCCACTGTTTTCTCGGCTCCCACTTCCACCACTACTTCCACTACAAACAAGAAGAAATAACTGAAAGTGAATAATCAATCACAGCTACCCTTTAGGTGGAGTCAGGAAGATAACTATTTGAGGACAGCCTCGGCAAAGTTAGCAAAACCCCCATCTCAACAAATAAGCCAGGAATGGTGATCATGCCTGTGATTCCAGTGAGGTAGGAGGCACAGGCAGAAATGTCAACAACCAAGGCCAGTCCTGAGCAAAAATCCAAGACTCTACCAGAAAAATAAAGGAAAAGGGGCTGGGTGCTTGGCTTAAGTGGCAGCGTACCTGCCTAACAGTTCAAGGCCATGAATTTAAACCTCAGTTCCACAAAAAAGAAAAAAGAAAAGTTGTAATAAACTGAAAGTCTTTTTTTCCCCTCTTTTGTCTGTCATAGAGCTTGAACTCGGCCTGAGTGCCATCCCTCAGCTCTTTGGCTCAAGGCAAGAGCACTCTACCACTTGAGCCACAGCACCACTTCCAGTTTTCTGGTGGTTTATTGGAGCTAAGAGTCTTGCAGTGATGAGTGCCAGTGGCTCACGCCTGTAATCCTAGCTACTCAGGAGGCTGAGGTCTGAGGATTTTAGTTCAAAGCCAGCTGGAACAGGAAACTCCATGAGATTCTTATTTCCAATAAACCACTCAGAAAACCAGAAGGGGCGCTACAGCTCAAGTGGCAGGGTGTACACCTTGAGCTGAAGAGCTGAGGGACAGCGCCCAAGCCCAGAGTTCAAGCTCCACAAACAACCAACAACAACAACAAAAAAGGTCTCAAGGCCTTTTCCTGCCCTGGCTGGCTTTGAACCCCAATCCTTAGATCTCAGCCTCCGGAGTAGCTAAGATTACAGGCGTGAGCCACCAGCACCCAGCTAAATTTGAAGCTTTTCTAAACACTCTTTTACTAACATATGTATTTATCTATGTACATATGAACATACATATATTTATGTGTGCATATAAAAAATCTAATTGTTTATGATAAACCTTTAATGTGTGATTTATCTGAAATTGATAAAATATTCATATAATCTCTACTAAAAAATATTAAAATCTTACAATACAGTGTGTTGCCATCTATTTAAAACCCACTACACAGAAGAGTGAATAGCTGTGGTGATACACAACTGTAATCCTAGCACATGGGAGGCTAAGGTAGGAAAGCTTGAGTTCATGGTTTGTTTGGGCTATAGGGCAAGATGTCTCAGAAACAAAAAACAAAAGATACAAGGAACAAGCAAGAATGAACCATATTATGAGAAGTACTGATGGCTCATGACTGTAATCTTAGCTATTCAGCAGGCTGAGATGTTTAGATCACAATCCAAAGCCAACCCAGACAGAAAGTCCATGAGCTCTTATCTCCAATTACCACCCAAAAAGCCAGAAGCAGAACTGTGGCTCAAATGGAAGAGCACTAGCCTTGAGTACAAAACTTCCAGCACAAGCAGGCGCTGGTGGCTTACACCTGTAATCCTAGTTACTCAAGAGTCTGAGATCTGAGGATCATAGTTCAAAGCCAGCCCAATAGTCTGAGAAAGTCTTATCTCAAATAAACTACTCAGAAAACTGGAAGTGGTGCTGTGGCTCATAGTAGAGTGCTCACCCTGAGCTAAAGAGCTGAGGGACAGTGCCCAAGCCCAGAGTTCAAGCCCCACAACTGACCAAAAAAAAAAAAAAAAAAAGCTCGGAACAGCGCTGAAGCCCTGAGTTCAAGCTGCAGGACCAGCACACAAAAGAAGGAACCATGTTGTCACGGAACTCCACAGTCAAGAATGAGCAAAGTGTGATGGACACTACAAAGTATAAAGTACATGTGAGCGTGTACATAGCCTTAGGCTCTGGATTAATACTTATCTGAAACAGTCTCTCTCTGGGGCTGGCTTCATACAAACTTCTAGACTCAAGTGAGTCCTCTGCCTCAGCCCCCCAAGTACTGGAAAAATGCATTAAATACCACCAGACCTAGCTCATATTTTATAGTTTAAGGGCAAAGTTTTACAGAGTCTGGGTAAAAATTTTCTTAATTCTCAATATGATCTATAAATAAGAAAACAGATTATAGATAGATAAATAGATAGATAGATTAATGAAAGAAAAAAGCACTGAGTGTCAAGCCCTCCCTAATTCTTTAAAGCCAATTCATCTTGGGAAATTATGTAATCACTTAATCACAATTAAAAAAAAAAAAAGAACCTGGGGAAGGGAGGGAGGGAAGGGATGGTAGGGAGAAAACAATGGAGGGGGTAACAATGCTCAATAGGAAGTGTACTCATTACCTTGCTCATGTAACTGTAACCCTCTGTATAGTATCTTTACAATAAAAATTTAAAAAATAAAGCCAATTCATCAATACATCAAAGATATATAAGTATCTGTGCACTTGTTATGCTCTTCTACTATTATTGACTTAAATGACATTTTCTCACATAGGGGATGGTCAAAAGTGGGCCACGGTCTAATTTTTGCTGTGAGCTAAGACTATGATTTCACATTTTTTAAACACTTGGGAAAAAAATTAAAAGAATCTTTTGCGACATATTAAAAGTATGTAAAACTTAAATTTCAGTATCATGAAGTTTAACACAGTCATTTTCATATCATTATGGCTGTTTTGTGATACAATGAAAAAAAAAAAACTGAACATTCCCAGGAGAGCCTAGGCAGCCTGTGAACCCTAAAATATTGGCAGTCAAGCAATTTATAGTTATTTCTAATCTAACAGAATACATTCATGAAAAAAAGAACTACCTGACTGCAAGTGACTCATGCCTATCTATAATCCTAGCTTTTCTAGAACCTGACCCTGAGGATCAGGATTCAAAGTCAACTTAGGCAGAAAAGTTCCTGAGACTCCAATTAACTAGCAAAAGGCACAGCAGGAGGCATGGCTTAAGGCATTGTAGAGTGCCAGCTGTGTGCAAGCAAGTCAAACAAGAGCACAAGTTCTTTTCTGCCCACATTGCTCCCAAACTGCTCTCCTTCCAGATCTCAGCCTCCTGAGTAGCTAAGGTTGCAGGCACCACGCATGATACATTTTTAAGTGATAGATACAATAACGCCCTCTAGTATAACAACTCTCTTAAAATTCTTCCTCAAAAATAAGCTAAATCATCTGTCGTCCAACTTTTTAAATTTTAAATCATATTGCATAACTTCTATGGTATTCAACCTTTCATCCAAATATACTAAAGAATGGTTGTCATGCCAGGTGATGATGGCTCACACCTGTAATCCTAGCTAGACAGGAAGCTGAGATCTGAGAATCTTGGGTCAAAACCAGCCTAGGCCAGAAAGAAAAAGAAAAACCACAAGTGGAGCTGTTGCTCAAGTGGCATAGCGCTAGCCTCAAGCAAAAAAGTTCAGGAATAACACCCAGACAACTTTAAAATACATTCCTTTGTTTTAAATCCAAATATACTTCTGTTGGGCTGGGAAGGTGGCTCAGTGGTTGAGCGTTTGCCTTGCATGCATGAGGCCCTGGGTTCGATTCCTCAGCACCACATAAGCAGAAAAAAATTTTTAAAAAGCCGGAAGTGGCGCTGTGGCTCAAGTGGTAGAGTACTAGCCTTGAGCTGAAGAGCTGAGGGACAGTGCTCAGGCCCAGAGTTCAGGCCCCACGACTGGATCCAAATATACTTCTGTTGTCAAAGAAGAAGTAACTAAGGACCTGTTCAGAGTATAAACATTTTAAAGCTCTAAAAAGCAGCAAGTGCAATATAAATTCATAGAAGTACTTATAGTATTATCACCCTCAACATTTATATACAGTATTAGTATTAAAGGATAACTTCACTTTTACCCAGCACCTTTTATAGAAGTTACAGTCCAAAACATCTCATTTTAAATGTTCAAATGAAATTTGAAGGTTTACCTGTGCGTCCTTGGTCTCTGATTTAAAGAAGCCGTCCTTCCTGGACTATGCTGACTTCCAAGCCTTGCAGGACTAGTCATGTAGTCATTAGGAACTGTTGGAGGTTTAACAGGTTCCAGGGTTTTATAAGGTGTATTCCGTCTAAAAAACAACAATACAGGAAGGAATATTGAATAATAAAATAGACCCCTCTCCCAAATTTGCAATTATCTCTTTGTGACTAATTGTAACAGGTTTTAAATTTTAATAAACTAATTTTGTTTTCTAAACTGAGGTATATAAATATTACTTCAATATGAAAACTAAAATTTGTTACATGTTTCCTTCAAAGGAGTAAAGTTCTAAACTTATTCCTAATTTTTAAAAAAGGGTTATGATTCTTTGAAGCATGATTATTCCAGGCTTAGTCACCTATAAACCACTGTCCTTTACAAAGAAAGCTAAATATTGCCTTAATTTCTGCCTCAATATGGGAATATCTGAACTTTGATATAATGCTATTAACTTAAGAACTGTTACTATTATTTTAGTTCTCTATTTTTTCAGGGGCAGAGGTTGACAAAATGAAAACAGAAACTAAAATCTTCACTAAGCTAATATGATACTTTCTATGTTAAGGTAAATAATCTTTCAGAAATTTCTTGGAAAGTTTTGAAAATATTTGGTAGCTTGAGAATAGGAAGGAAAAAACCTATTACCTTTTCTACTTTTTTTGGGTGGGGACAGAAGTAGGGAGTACACTTAGGACCTACAACATAAGTGCTCTACAATGTGAACCATATTTCTTATATAGTTTTTGTTTTCTTGTATATGGTATGTTTTCCTTTGTCCACTTTTATTGTTTTTGTCTTTAAAAATTATTACCATGAATTAATTGTACAAAAGGGGTTCATTATGTTCTTTTCATATATATATAATGTACTTGGATCAAATTTGTCTCTTAGCTTATTTTTCAGATAGTATTTTGAGCTAACTTTGTCCAGGCTGACCTCAAAATCATGATCTACTCTCCCTACCTCATCGGTATCTGGAATTACAAATATGCAACACCATAACTGGCCTCTCTCTTCTATTTTTCGAACTGGCCTTTCCCTAAAACTACTTTAATACAGAGGGTCTGAGATTACAACTGGTTTATAGTTACAAGGCCAGGAAAAGATTCCTAATTCTTAAGTGTCAAATAGGGAAACAAGAAGAGGTGCAAATACTAAGCCAAACTATAGAGAGCAGGCTACTTGCTCAAAGTTGAATAATATAAATATTGTAAATATATGCCTAACTATCATTTGGAACTCTCTTGTCCTTCCGCTTAAAACATATCTAAGTTAGACTTACAATTAATTTTTTAACTACACAAAAAAGTATTCATTATAACAAATTATAAAAGAACTTTCCAAGTACAGACTTCTGTAGAGATATTATTAAAGCAGGCAGATTGATTTTGGATTCTGTTCAGAGAGTAAGAATTAAAATGAATTGGAAAAAGGTATCACCACATAGAGAAGGTTCTAAGACAAAGATCCATACACTTATCTATGTGACAAACACTCTTTTCCTTACCATAGAAATTCTTTTGTAAAATACAGTTGAATCCTTACCCCAACGTTCCCCGGCCTGACATGGGAGGACTTGGTGGTTTCTGAGTAGGAGGATTTGTTCTCGACAGTGTGCCAGTTCTTGCAGGCTGATTATTTCCATGCTAAAATGTGGAAAGAGAGCTTTTATTTTTATATCAAATTGTTCTCCTGGTGTTTTAACACTATGTATTATTTTTTTTTAATAACAGAATGTGAAGTAAGGATTCCCAGACAGGTTTTTGTTTTTGTTTTTGGTCGGTCATGGAGCCTGAACTCTGGGCCTGGGCACTGTCCCTCAGCTCTTCAGCTCAAGGCTAGCGCTTTACCACTAGAGCCACAGTACCATTTCCGGCTTTATCTGCATATATGGTGCTGAAGAATCGAACCCAGGGCCTCATGCATGCAAGGCAAGCACTCTACCACTGAGCCACCTTCCCAGCCCCCAGACAGTTCTAATAAAGACTTTGGTACTACATTTTTAAAAGTTAAGGAACCATCTGCACTGAGTCTTTCCTACCATTTTGTGTCACTCATGTGAGCTTCTGGCAAAATGCAGGTGAGACTTTATTAAATTATCACTAAACATGTTTACTCAGATTAAACTTATCTGCACTCAACTATTGGGTTTCTTAAATTTTTCAAATGTGTGCAAAAGCATAAACTACAGATCTCACTGTCAATCTGCTAAAACACCCATCTGAAAAATTGTCTTTATCCTAACAATTCAGTAACAAAGTCACATTATGATGTCTGGGAAACCTCCTAATTGTAAGTCAATGGAAAGCAAGGCAACTATCAAAATATGAGCAAAGCAATAAATGTTAGCAAAATTAATGTTCCTCTATCAATGCAAATGTCAATATATCCTTGATATATTAACACAGCCAAGCTAAATGTTGCTGATTGGAACTGAGTTTGAGTATATTTAATCTATATAAATCCTACAGGAAAAAGCAGACAGACATAGAAGAGTTTTCAAATTTTAGTGGCTCTGCAGCCTCTATCAATATAGAGGAAATACTGTGGATCAAATGTAAGTAATATTTCTTACCTTGGCTTTTAGCCACTTTATGTTGGCAAAAAAAGAGGGGGGAAAAGTAGAAATTAATTCTAGGTAAGTTATATCTGACAGGACAGGTTTACATTTATAGTTATTCAAGTCATTCTAATTAAGCTTTATCCAGTCATATTCCAAATATTTTATAATCAAAAGTACAAGAATATTCATATGTTCCATGTTTCAAAAGAAATATATATTATTAAGGAAACCACCACTTAATTATGCCAATCTCATGCAAGCCCAGTAATTTCTTAGGTCAATACTTTATCCTATAGAAACTATTCCAAATGAATTACAGAGACCTAAAAGGGAAAAAAAAAATTTGAGATAAACAAAATTGAAGAACACACTAGACCTAAAGCTATTTAAATTTCTCACATTCGAGACTGAAGACTTTACTAGATAATAAATGCCCAAATATGAAAAGTCATTACTTAAATTGCAGTATAATATATAAAATTCAAAATCATAGGTTGCTTTTTGATCCAGAAAAGGATTTTGCACATTAATATTTAAGAATGAAATCATAGGTTGGCTATGTAGCCCAGTAATAGAGAACTTAACTAACATGTAAGGCCATGGGCTATTTTGTTGCTGTTTGTAGTTATGATTTGGGGCTTGAACTCATGGCCTGGGCACTGTCCCTGAGCTTTTTCTGCTCAAGACTAGCGCTGTGTCACTTTGACAGGCCACTTCTAGTTTTCTGGTAGTTAGAGATAAGAGTCTCATGGGAGTTTTCTGCCCAGGATGGCTTCTAACCTTGAGCCTCAGTTCTCATCCTCTTGAGTAGCTAGGATTACAGATGTTAGCCACCTGCACCCAAGTTGGCCCACGGTTTAATAACCAGCACTGAATAAAGAAAATTATCATGCACATTAATAATCTGGGGCCAGATTCTAACTGAAAAACAGACTGGAAAATCTTATTTCTATTCAAATTCTGAGCAGACCCAACAACACTAAGATACATGCTGCTTTAGTTTAAGTTTTGTTCTGAACCAGATTAGTTAAAATTCAAAATTAAAGAAAAATTGCCTTGCTCAGAATGAAAGGCTAATTGTATGGAAGATGCCTAGCTACATACATTAAATTGTTTATATTTAGATATACACATTGCAATTAAGAAAAAAATCTTTAGCTTAGTGCTGGTTGACATGCCTGTAACTCTTAGCTGCTCAGGAAGTTAAGATCTAAGGATCACAGTTCAAACCCAGCACAGGCAGAAAAATCCAAGAGAAGCCTGGTGCTGGAGGCTCACACCTATAATCCTAGCTACTCAAGAGGTAGAGATCTGAGGACTGCAGTTTGAAGCCAGGCAGGCAGAAAAGACTCCCTGAGACTTATCTCCAATTAACCACTTAAAAGTAATACGGCTCTAGCCTTGAGCAAAAGAGCCAAGTAAGAATATAAGACCCTGCCTGAATTCAAGTCCCAGTCGGAGAGAGAGAGAGAGAGAGAGAGAGAGAGAGAGAGAGAGCCTGAGGAAGGAATAGGAAGGGAAGGGAGAGGGGGAAATGGAAGGGGGGAGGGGAAATTCTTCAGTTTCTATGAGGAATCATAAGGTTCTATGGAGTTTTAAAGTGGCATGCTCTTTCTATAATATATACCATTCTGGAAGGGGAAAGGGAGAAGGGAAGAAGTGAGAGGGAGAGGGGGGAAATTCTCCAGTTTCTAAGAGGAATCCTAAGATTCTACGGAGTTTTTAAAGTGGCATGTAACATATACCATTTTAAATTGTCTAGCACTTTTCAAATTACCATAAAGACAACATTAACAGAAATTAGCCAGGATGAATTTGCTCTCTCTAGGATATACTCTCACTTATAGCGGTACCTGAAATTTTGGATTCTTTACTGTTTGCTTAAACATTGATATTTCTCATTTTCATTTAGAAAACATCTGGAATCCTACCTAACGACTACATTTCACATCTGGTGTTATAATACCATATTTGACTAAAATCAGGATCCCTGATGGTAAGATATATCTTAATGCATATGTACATTCTGATTATAGTATATGTATAGTGTATGCATATAGTATATGTACACAAATGTTTTTATAATGTAATACATAACCATTATAATAATTATCATAAAGTATACATAAAGCAAATACTCGAAACACGCTCATATCTTTTCTCATTTCTTCTTTCTTTTTGTGCCACTCCTAGGGCTTCATTCAACACAGGGCCTAGATATTGTCCTGAGTTTTTTGAAACCAAGGCTTGCACTGTACCACTTGAGCCACAGCTCCACTTCTGGCTTTTTGGTTATTAACCAGAGACTTAAGAGTCTCAGACTTTCCTGGTTGAGCTGGCTCTGAACCACTATCCTCAGATCACTGCTTCCTGAGTCACTAGAATTACAGGCTCGAGCCACTGGCACAAAGCTACTGCTTCTTTTTCAATAGAATTAGGGTTTCAATTCAAAGCCTTATACCACCTAAGCCATACCTCTAGCAGCTTGAGTCTGCTTTTCAGACAGGGTCTCACATTCTTTGCCCAGGACTGACCTTAGACTGCTATCCTCCTACTCCACATGCTAGGATTACATGAACTTGCAGCTATACTTAACCTTCCCTTGGATCTCTTTCAAGTACAGAGGAAACCAAAAAGTTATTATTCATGTGTAAAACTATGTGGCTCAAGTGGTAGAGTGCTAGCCTTGAGCTGAAGAGGTGAGGGATAGCACCCAGGCCCAGAGTTCAGACCAATGACCAACAAAAAAATAAAAATAAAAATAAATAAAAATGTCAGAAGCAAAACCAAAAAAAAAAAAAGAAAAGAAAGAAAGAAAGAAAGAAAGAGTAAAAGAAAAGCTGGGCGCTGGTGGCTCATGCCTGTAATCCTAGCTACTCAGGAGGCTGAGATCTGAGGATCGCGGTTCAAAGCCAGCCTGGGCAGGAGAGACCTTGAGACTCCTATCTCCAATAAACCACCAGAAAACCGGAAGTGGCGCTGTGGCTCAAGTGGTAGAGTGCCTTGAGCTGAAGAGCTGAGGGACAGCGCCCAGGCCCAGAGTTCAAGCCCCACGACCGACAAAAAAAAAAGAAAGAGTAAAAGAAGAATGCAACTAGGAATGAAAATTCTAGTTGAACTCTGCAACTATTCAATAGTGTAACCTTTAGTATTTTATGGAGCTTGACTTTCTCTAATTTATAAGTGGAATGTATGCAGATTGCTAAAAATAGGAAGTGTTAGAAAAAGTAACCTTTTATCTTATAGTTCAAAGTATTACTGTCAGAAACCAATAATAATGTAAGCTAAATGTCAACCTAAATGGCCCCTAAAACACACCCACAGATAGTTTATTACTTCCTTAAGATCTCACTGTCATTCTTTAACATTTATCCTTATAGACGAATGATTTTAGAATTTGCCTAGAATCTTTTAATAAAAACAGTAAATCGGTTTTTTATTCCTCTCTATTTTCTATGCATCAGTAGATCATCATACTAAATGTCAGCAAGGCAATTTTTTTTCTTTGAAATGATGTAGCTCACTTAGAAAATTAAAACTTAAAAAAATCCCAACATTAATATTTTAAAGCTTTACTGCCTAGGGGCTGAGAAGGTGGCTCAGTGGTAGAGTGGTTGCCTTGCATGCATGAGGCCCTGGGTTCAATTCCTCAGCACCATATAAGCAGAAAAGGCCAGAAGGGGCACTGTGACTCAAGTAGTAGAGCGCTCAACTAGCACTGAAGAGCTAAGGGACAACGCCCAGGCCTAGAGGTCAGACTCCAAGACAAGACAAAAACAAAACAAAACAAAACAAAACAAAGCTGGGCGCAAGTAGCTCAAGCAAGTAGCTCATGCCGGTAATCCGGTAATCCTAGCTACTCTGGAGGCTGAGATCTGAGGATCTCCTTTCAAAGCCTGCCCAGGCAGGAAAATCTGTGAAACTCTTATAAACCACCAGAAAACCAGAAGTGACACTGTAGCTCAAGCAGAAGAGCGCTTGCCTTGAGGTGAAGAGCTGAGGGACAGCATTCAGACCCAGAGTTCAAGCCTCACGACTGACCCAAAAAAAAAAAAAATTTACTGTCTATACTATTAAAACAAAAATTAAAAGATCATCAGGCTAAGACAGATTGAGTGTCTTGAGGTTCTATTAAGCAAACTAAAACCAATATAATCAATTAGAAACCCAACTAACCTCTAGAGATTACAAATCAGAAAATACCCTAACCAATCAAATGTGTTCTTTGTTATGCTTCCTTCCATTAATTTCCTCTCACACCCCTGATGTGGTCAGGAGCCATCCAATTCATGAATCACTGTTCAAATAAATTTACTTTAACTAATGTAACAGCAACCCGAACTCTTTTAAGCTTAAAAACAAGCAAACAAAAGCATTTATGTATTGTTTTATAAGAAGAAAAGTCAGCATGAGACAAAAAGTATTTATGGGCAAACATGTGTTTATATATGTATATATATGCATGCATGCACAAATACACACACACACACACACACTGGAGTCTATATGTACTTCTTTTTTCTTTAATCCCAAAGTAGGAAATATTACAAAAGCTTTTTCTATAATTTCACATTCAAATTCATATACCCATTAGTATAAAATATCTTCAAATGTAATTAAATTTAAGCTCTTATACAACCCTATACATACTCTGAATGAATACAAGCAAAAAGTAATCTCTACTATTTGCTAACTGCTATAAATTCACATGTGACTCCACAAGTCCTGGAAAAGAGCACACTAAAGTCAGTGTTGTTGGCTATGTTCCTTTCAACCAGAACATGAACAAAGTTAGAATGCAACAGATCTAAAACCTGCATAAATCAGATCCATCAGAAAAGACCTGACAATGTTAGCTGACTTCTAAAAAATTATTATGAAATATCCTAAAGACTAGAAACAAAATTAAAAGGGACTAACATTTCAGAAAAACAGTTTAACCTAGACAGAGATGACTAAAAAATTCAGGTCATCACTGATATTTGCAAATTGACACATGACCACCAAAAAGTTCACAAACCTCAAGATCAGCAAATTATACCCTAGTATAGTTTTTCTTTTTTGTGGGGGCAAGTCTTTTCATTTTTTCTTTCTTTTTTTTTTTTCCCGGTCATGGGGCTTAACTCTGGGCCCGGGCACTGTCCCTCAGCTCTTCAGCTCAAGGCTAGCACTCTACCACTTGAGCCAAGCCCCACTTCTGGTTTTTCTGCTTATGTGGTGCTGAGCACTCTACCATGAGCCACCTTCCCAGCCCTCCTTTCATTTTTTTCTAAGCTGCTCAATAACATAGCCATATACACAGGAACACAACTATAAGCAAATATTTAGAGATGAAAAGACAAAAGTATAACTTATTTTTCTAAACCAATTTTGGAAAGCAAGTGCATGTTTTAAGCGTTTATTCAGTAGTAAAAACAAGACAAGGCATTCAAAATACTAATTTACAAGAGTAGTCTATAAGTGAAATGATTTATTTAATAAGTACCTATTTTTACTTTTAGTATATTTTAATATAGCTCATCAGCTAATCTGTTCCAAGCTGAGTAAAATTAATATTAAATAAGTATTTTATGTAAATGAGTTACTAAAGGAAATCCATCAAGTAAGCAATACTTCTAATATATTTCCTATCTAAAATATTTGAAAACACAAACTAGTTCTTAGTTCAAATAAACATAACAGAAAGATGCTTACCTTGACACCATGACCCACATCATCCAGAACTGTGTAGTCAATAGGTTTCCGAATATATCGTACAGGACGCTCCATATTGGCAGGTGCTATTATTTTATGGGTTCTTGATGTGTTCTTATTTGTTGTCAAAATGCCAATCTCTCTTCGAGCCACTTTCTCTTTATGAATATCCACAGTCTATATTTTAAATGTGAACAAAACAAGAAAATATTATTTGTCATGGCCAACTACATATGTGGTGTCCATATATACTGAATCCAATATAGGTTGTACTATGGTACTGTACCATAATACGGAAATTTTCCAGTGAATATTTTATCTTTCTCTTCAAATTAATTCCCTCAAGGCTCAAAGGAAATACGTAAAGTAATTTAAAACACTAATTTATTGGATTTGATTCTAAGGTAACTGCCAGGAAAACAATTTGTTTCCTAAAAACTTGGGAGTATGTAGGGGAGAGGAATCCTGCTCTAAAAGCTTATATTTTACTCAGTGGACATGAAGAATACACACACACACACACACACACACACACACACACACACACTCACCCCTTATTAATTACAACACAAAGAGGTTAAGTACTGTTGTGACACATATGCAAATTATTTGAAATTGCTATTCAGAGTAAGACAAATGAGGCTGAAAAGAGTTCAGTTAAAGGCTTTACAGAGAAGATAAATTTTAAAGGATAAGCAAGAATATAATATGGAGATTACAAAAGACACTGGAAAAAAAAACTTCACTGCAGGATTCAAGGATGGTAATGGGCTTAATTTACTAAGAAAACCCTCTTGCCCCAATTGTTTCTTGAGTCTGTGTGTTGTATGAACCTCAATTTGCATTAAATTTTGTTTATTCTTTTTTTAAACTGCATACTTCAAACAAAAACATCAAGGGAAAATGATAGGACCAAAGGTTATAACCTGTCAGTAAGTGGCCTACACACCTGCTGCTTAGAACAGCTTCCTCAATAATGTCCTATGTGTTTTTAAAATATTTTTAGGATTTTTTCTATTTGTATTCAAAATACAGTACATAATTAGCTATTGTCACTGTGTTGTGCAACACATCTCAAAGAGGAGAGAATTTTTAAACTGTGTGTGCGTGTGTGTGTGCGTGTGTTTAAAGAGAGACTAGGAAAGTAGCTCTGTAGTAGAATACTTGCCTAGCCAAGTATAAGAACCTGAATTCTACCCTCAGGACCAAATTAATAATAACAGCAATAATTATTATTTAAAACATTATTACTCAGTGATTAGCATTTAATAACTGGATAGCAGTCAAGTGCCAGTGACACACATTATAATCCTAGCTACTCAGAAGGCTGAGATCTAGAGGATCATAGTTCAAAGCCAGCCCAGACAGAAAAGTCTGTCAGACTTCATCTCCAAAATAATCTGTAAAATGTCAGGTTGGAGAAATGGCCCAAGTGGTAGAGTGCCAGCTAAGTAAGCCAGATGAGTGAGCTCAAACAAACAAACAAAAAACAATAAAAGACCTGGTTCCCTAAACTTGCAAGCCTTTCCCTGTAATGCACTCAACAATGTGTAGGTATCAGGGCTGGGAAGGTGGCTCAGTGGCAGAGCGCTTACCTTGCATGCCTGAGGCCCTGGGTTCGATTCCTCAGCACCACATAAGAAAAAAGCAAAAAGCTGGAAGTGGCACTGTGGCTCAAGTGGTAAAGTGCTAGCCTTGAGCTGAAGAGCTGAGGGACGCGCCCAGGCCCAGAGTTCAGGCCCCACGACCGGACCCAAAAAAAACAAAAAAAAAAAAAAAAAAAAAACTGTGCAGGTATCAACTGTCTCTCTTTGCAGTACTCAATAAAAACTGAGACTGTTATCTGGTACAATTAACATTGTGGCTATTGTAATTGCCATGAGAAATGATATCCTTTGTCGCTGACCATGAGTCTCATGTCTTCTAATAAAATCTATGAAATTATGGTAGAGTTAACCTATTCATTTGCAAAAGTCAAGTCTCCAACTACTCACAATTTATGAGTTTTGGAAATGAAGATGGAAGGCTGACAGACCAAACTTTCTAATAATAATGGATGGAAAAGGTGATTACAGGTATTCAGAAAAATCCATGAGAATTGTTAAATGTCCTCCCTTTTATTGTTTATTAATGAAGCTAAATTAACAGAGACTTTCAGACTGAATACCAAGAAGTAGATATATTCAGACAGCAGCCTGAACAATTCCCTGATATTGCCAACTCTCTGGCAGATGGGAGATGTTCTTCATCAAGCTGACAGTCTCATAGGCCTGCCCCAAAAACAACTTGAATTAAAATTTGTCTGGTAGAGGAGAGGAAAGCACATAGGGTCCTGTTTCATTTCAGATGATAGTTACAGAGACACATGTCTATACTGAATGTGAAAAGGAGAAAATTCTGCAGCTATTTTGGTTAGAATAAGACTAATTTCTGGCTAGTTTGCTTGTAAGATGATGATGCTTGTTAAAGAATGACAAAACTAGTTATCTTACTGCCCAACTTTTCCTGCAGTCTATCTAACCAACATTCAATCCTCATGAACTGACAAGTCAAAGCCTCAGCAATTTTGATAGTGGGTCTTACCTGCTATAATAAAGCATTGGCCCTCTAGAAAATTTTTCTTTTAGACAACCCCACCAAGAACCGACTAGCCTAAGGACTTTATAGTGGATTGAGATTAAAATGCCAGTATTAGAGGTGATTCACTAGAAAATGAGACATACTAAAAAAAAAAAAAAAAAAACTAGAAAATCCTTAGCCTCAGCTCTAATGCTTCTAACTGAATTAAGATTCTGCTGTGCACTTGTGGCTCACAGCTGCAACCCTACTAAAATCTGATGGTCATGATTCTAAGTCACAGACTTTTTTTTTTTTGGGGGGGGTGTGGGGGAGGTCGGTAGTGGGGCCTGAACTCTGGGCCTGGGCCCTGTCCCTCAGCTCTTCAGCTGAAGGCTAGCACTCTACCACTTGAGAGTCAGCCCCACTTCCGGTTTTTTCTGCTTATGTGGTGCTGAGGAATCGAACCCAGGGCCTCATGCATATAAGGCAAGCACTCTACCACTGAGCCACCTTCCCAGCCCCAGTCACAGACTCTTTATCTCCAATTAGCCTCCAGAAAACTGGAAATGGAGCTGTGGCTTAAGTGGTAAAATCTCAGGGACAGCACCTTGGCCCTGAGTTCAAGCCCCAGGACAATCATTCCCTCATCCCACCCCATTCCAAAAAAGATAAAAGATTTTAAGAGATATTATCTTTGTCAATGGAGCAATACTCCAAATTAAGGTGGGCTCCTAAAAATAATAATGCCACTATGCAAGTAAAGCCCAAGTCTAGGAGCCCAGGGAGTACAAAACTTATTGTCCCTGCCAACGAGCTGTTCACTCAAGATATTCACAATCAAAAACGGATTATAATAGTACTGATGAGGTTATCACACAAAATATTATTCTTTGGATAGACCAAAATCGTCCCAAATTTGTTTGTTTTGTCGGTCTTGGGCCTTCAACTTTGAGTCTGGCCGCTATCCCTTAGCTCTTCAGCTCAAGGCTAGTGCTCTACCACTTGAGCCACAACGCCACTTCCAGTTTTCTGGTGGTTAACTGGAGAAAAGCATCTCACAGACTTTCCTGCCTGGGCAGGCTTTGAACCACAATCCTCAGACCTCAGCCTAGTGAGTAGCTAGGATTACCGGTGTGAGCCACCAGCGAGTGCCCAGCTTCATCCCAAGTTTTATTTGGTTGATCAGCATGCAGTTACCATACCATTCAAAAATGAGAGTAAATGTGTTTATTCAAAAAAGATGATTGGGGATGACTTGGAACTTTTTTTTAATTTAGTTTCCAAGGAAGGCTGAAGACCAAACATATTTATGTTAGATATTTTAGCAAACTTTTAGGGTAATGGTAGATGCAAGAAACAAAGTACTTTGGAGGGATAAGTTACCTGCTTTGAGCAAGGTTCACATCAGGGAAAAGAGGCTAATTTGACCTTTCCAGTGGGGCTCTTGGAACCCACTCAATATATTACTGTTATGGCTTCCATTAATAAGTAAATAGCCTAATTGTTGACATTTTACTTAGGATATTGTGAATACTCCTAAACTCCCAAGGGATTATGCCCACTTTAAAAAGAACCCATACATGACAGCATTAGTGGATTTAAGATCCCACAATTTTATGAGCTCTTTGAGGAGCAATCTCTGCAGGGATAATTTTACTGACTAAAGCCTCTAACAAGAGGAAGAGTCTCTCTAGAGTCACTAGCTGGGTCAATAATATAAATGACTATAGTAAAGGTCACAGTCTCATAAGATCAAGTGGGATAAAGTCTGCATTGCTCAGACTGTTAACACGGCCACCATTCCATCATCATACCAGACATAACAACACATCTACCATCAAAATAAAAGACTGTGTTCCTGATTAAAAAAAAAAAAAAGATATGACCTCATCCCAGACTGGTAAACTCTGCAAAAAGTCATTCTGTAAGCTTGTAGCTGAATGGCTACAGCAAACCTTTGACACTCACCTTTTAGTAATCAGTGATGCCTCACTGCTGATGACTTTTTCAAACACATCACACTAAATGCTGAAAAAAAAACTCAAAAACCAACTCAAAATACTCAACAATATTAAAGAAAACCTATCTCCAAAAAACAGGCAAAGGAGGGCTGTGGGCACAGCTCTGTGGTATGTGTACTTTAGCACGCACAATGCTTTGTGATGCCAGTGATTCCAAACATCACATTAAATATATATTCCTCCAATACTCACTAGACACTATGTTGGGACTGAACTATACAACTTAGGGGAAGGAGGGACAGAGGGAAAAAACTGGGAGAAAATGAGGTAGTGGCACTGTTCAAAAAGACATGTACTCTGGGGCTGGGAAAGTGGCTCAGTGGTAAAGCGCTTGCCTTGCATGCTCAAAGCCCTGGGTTCGATTCCTCAGCACCACATAAGCAAAAAGAAAAAAGCCGGAAGTGGCACTGTGGCTCAAGTGGTAGAGTGCTAGCCTTGAGCTGAAGAGCTGAGGGACAGCGCCCAGGCCCAGAGTTCAGGTCCCACGACCGGACCCAAAAAAAAAAAAAAAAGACATGTACTCATTACCTGACTTATATAACTTATGTACATCACCTTTACAACAAACAAACATTCCTCCAAAGAAGATTTGGAAAG